GATTTCAAAAATTAAAAACTAAATTAAATGGCTTTTGATATAGTATAAGCTGACAATTTTAGAACTTTTCTAAATTTATCATTTATTATTTTGGGCTATATTCAACTATTTAATTTTAAATGGAAACCCAATTTTTTTTATAATTTGGAAGATATTAGTTTTCTTGGTACAAACATGTGCAATATATAAAAATTATCATTCAAAAATTATAAAAGTTAATAAAATCTAGTTGCATGGTGTCTATAAAAAAATTAGGCCAACAATAATCTTATTAAAATTAAACAAAATAAATAAATAAATAATAATTAAATAAACTAGGCACACTAAATCAGAAGTTTTTCTAATTTGTTATAAGTAATTATTGTCAGTTGGCAATATTTTTTTTTTCATTTGCTACTTTTTGACAATACAATAATGGCATTGTCTGATTTTATTAACTTTGAATAATTTTTTTGAATTTTGATAATTTTTTAAACAATAATTTTTAGTAGTTTATATTGCACGTCTGTACCAAGAAAACTAATACTTTCCAAATTATGAAGAAAAAAATATGAGTTCCAATTTAAAATTAGAAAGTTGAATATAGTCCAAAATTAACTATGACATTTAGAAAAATTCTAAAATTGTCAGCTTACATATACTACAGGGGGGTCCAGAAGTCTGGAAACGTTTTTTTTTCTGGCGAAACTATCAATTTTTTGTCAAATAAATTTATAGGTGTGCAATGGATATAAAAATGCTATTCAAAAAACAAATGACATATCAATTAATTGTTTATACTACTTTATACGAGATAAATATAGTAAGTTTTTTTTTAATGGAAACCCCCCAAAATTTTTTTTCTAGACAACAAGGTTGTTACAAGAATTGTTGCTGTGCGTTTTTTTTTTTGTAAACCTATACTCGTTTTCATATTAATGTGCATCGAAGTAGTCGTTGAAAGGTGGCAACTATGCAAAAATTCAAACAATCCTAACCCCAATTTTTATTTTTTTAAATAAATGTGTACCCCATGTAGCAAAAAACAATTAAAATTAACAACGTAATTAACGTAGGATAGCAAACATAAAGATTTTTGTCATTATTGATGTGATTAAATTTGTTCTGAATGACGTTAATGACACTTTTTGTGTGAATCAGCCTTTAAGTTAAAGCTGAATTTAGACTTCTACAACCTACATGATGCACATTAAAATGAAAAAGAGTATAATACTTTTTGTTAAAAAAATTTTTGACTTACAAGTATTAAGCTTACTTATACAGCTTTAAACTTTTGATATTACCATTCAAATAATTTTTAAAAGCCATTTAAATATTTTTTTTTAATTTTTAAAATTGGGTCATAAATAAAAATTCTACAGTGCCTGTCGTTTTTTAAAAAACCACCCATTCTCAAAAAATAAAATAGAACTCATTCATTACGAAGTCTTTAAGAAATAATTCTTATTCATCAATTATTTTTAAAGTAAATATTTTAAGTAAAACCATTCTTTTCCCCATAATTTTTTTCGCATATATTATAAAAATTTATTAATATATTGTCGGAAATGAATACTGGTAAAAAAATTCGACGTCTGTTCTTAAAGAGAATTTTTTATCACTCATTTTACAATAATTAATTAAAATGGGGTTCAATAAGTAATTAGTGTATTCTTTTAGAAAATGTTTTAGACGGCATTTTTGACATATGTCGCCAACAATTTAACACCACCAGTATAATGAAATTAAATGCACTTAATCAATACGATCAACCACCTGGATTTGAAATTTACAACTCTGGTAATTTTTCAAGTTAGTTTTTTTAACCTGATTCCTGATTTTGTATTTTTTTAAAGTTAATAAAACTCTTCTGGAATTTAACAATACAAAATCACCTTTGAGGCTCATTAAAGAGTACATAATGACGCACCCTAAAATGCGAATTATAAATAACGAGGGTCAGGCGGAAGTAGACGAAAATTATATGGACGACACACGGAAAATACAAATACACAAGTATCGAGGGTCTAATTTCAGACACAAAGATAACAGACAAGGAATAGTAAAAGATTACATGAATAATGATAACAATGAAGAGTTAAGCGATGTCGTGAGTATTTTTTTTTTTTGAATGAGGATGGTTTGTAGTAATGATTTCTAGAAATATGATAACGAAGGAGAGTGGCAATTGGGGCCTCAGACAAATATCATGAACGAACTTCCTGGAGACGACAACGACCCAGATTATGACGCGGATCCAAATATGTTTAACCAAAAACAAATGTTATATAATGATCAACATATGAAAAGTAGCAGAGATCCGAGAAGTGAACTTGATGAAACATTATCTGAATCAACGACGGATCCAGAACCACCTCAAGTAACAAATATAAATTTTCTAAATCCTCCAAAATACGGCATTTATGACTACCAAAATATAAAAATGGCCCGAAATCGACTCCTTCATGACTTGAACAACTTACCACTGGAAATCCTAAGAGACACTTATTTTAAAAACAGAGAGAGTCAATTAAGAAAATCAAAATTCGAGCAGCGGGACATAACTTCCCACATCGATAAAATTAAACAAAATGAAGAACTGAAAAAAATTATTGACACTGAAAAAAAAGTAGCTGAAAATACGTCGTTCAGTTTGTGGGATTTGGAATCGGAAAAGGAACTGAAAGATAAAGAGAACGGTTACTGGAGAGGCAAAAGGGAAATAAATGAAACATTTTCAACAATTCGTAAAATAACATCAGTAGGTAAGGTTTTCATTCTTGAAGTGAAAAAATATGAATTTATTATTCTAGGTGGAGTCTTGAATTCAATCAATTCGTCAAGTAATTCAATCGACGTGGTTTTTATCACCTACTGGCAGCCTACAAAATATCAAAGTGAGTCGATGTCGGATCAAGAAATGAAAGGGTGTCTCGAAGAAAAACTTGCCAAAGGTTTGTGTTTAATGTTTTTACATTTTATAGAATTTTTCTTTTTCCTAAAACGATTAAATTTCAGACCAAGGTCATACATACGCCAAAAACACCGAAAAAGAGCAAAAGGAGTTGTACATAAACGAGTGCCGCGCTGAGCAAGAGAGTCTCAAGCAGCAATTTGTGGAATTTGATCGAATTTTCGAACTTAGTCTGGGTCAGATGACCGTTTATCGAGTGAAAATTGAATGTGTGTGCGATGTCAAGAAAGCTGATGAACGATGTGCCAAATTCTTGCCTCAGGATGAGCAAAGTTGGTCCATGTATTTAGGGAAATTAGGAGATGGAGTTTTTCATACACGCAATTAGTTCGTTACGTTCTGTTTCTTAGTTAAGTTTTAGAGGATTAAACTTATGTTGACATAATAATCAAATACAAATGTACTAAGTGGTAATTACAATATCTTTAAGATTCATACGACAATCTGCAGTTTTAGTTTTGTAATTAAAATATTTACAAATAAATTTATTTTCATTTATTGCTGGTACAAGTAACATACCTGCTACCTCGACTCGTCTTCATCGTGGGTTATGTCGTTTTCTTTGTCTTGTTTTTGGAGGGTAACGGGCACTAAATCGCCCAATTTTGAAGCTCGTGCACAATAGTACAAATTTCTATAAACGCAGAGTTAGTTAAAATAACATAGGTCAGCAAAATTTAACTTTTTGTCTGGGGTTTGAATTATTTTGGGTGAATATGTTAACTAGGTGCATATACAGGATGTGCCAGAACTCGCGCCCCAGAGAAAAATGCCATATAAGGTAAAACACCAGGAACATGGAAAAAATGTAAAAAAAATCATCTATAAAAATTTCGAAGTTATGAGGGTTTAAATTTTGCACTTTGACTCTATTTATTTCTGTTGGAAAAATATTTTTTTAAGTTTTTTTTGCTATAGGCTATTAAAAGAGAAAACAAAGAAGCTGTATCCTAAATTGAAACTCTGTACAATGTTATTTGTGGCTTTTATTGGAAAAATTTGTGTACCTTTACTAAATAATTGTAAAAAAACAAATACAAAATCATCAGAATCATTAAATAAGCATAAAAAATGTCAAATGTCAAAATTTTTTGACAGAAATTTTTAAACATTTTTTTCATGTTTCTGGTATTTTACCTTACTTGAAAATTTTCTCTGGGGCGAAAGTTCTGGCGCACTTGTATATTCGTTCGACATTGCCAAAACTTTTCCATCATGTAAGAATTTGAAACCCCGAAATAAAGTTCAAGAAAAATTTATGATTATTTTGGCGTTTATTCTCTAAATTGATCTATTGTTTCATTTGTTTTTAGAAGGATATGTTAACTAAGTGTGTATACATTTTTAGAAAATATTATTAGAATTTTTACACTACATAAATATTTGTAATCGGAAGGCAAAATATAAAAAAAATATGTTGAAATTCGCTGAGATTTTGGTGTTTTATTAGTCTGGATTTGATTTTTTTTACACGGATGTTAACTAAATATGCACTCCATTGTAAAAATACCCTTAAAACTTTTACACACCGGAAAAATTTCAAACCATAAAGCAAAATTTTTGTACCTTTACTAAATAATTATAAAAAAACATCAGTAAGATTAAATAGACATAAAAAAAGTCAAATGTCAAATTTTTTGACAGACAGAATTTTTTCATATTCTCTGGGGCGCGAGTTCTGACACACCCTGTATACTTTTCCCAGCAACAGATTGTACTTTTCTGAAGCACTAAATTATCAAAGATAAATAAACACAAAATTTGAATTTTTGCGTCTTTGATGATGGAATTTGTCTATCAAATAAATCATTCGAAAAAAATAAACAATAAATCATTAAAATTTTAAATTATTAGAAATTTGAAAAATGAAATACACATTTATAAAGAAAATCTACGTATTTTTATTAAAAATTACCTTCTATTACTACTTGTAATGCTTAAATTAAAATACAATAAACACTTTTTCCATGTTCCTGGTATTTTATTTTACTTGAAATTTTTCTCTAGGGTGCGAGTTAGATACCAGAAACATGGAAAAATGTTTAAAAAATTCTATCTGTCAAAAATTTTTGACATTTGACATTTTTTGTCTATTTAATAATACTGATGATCATGTTTATGCTTTTTAACAATTATTTAGTAAAGGTACAAAAATTTTGCCAATAAAAGTCACAAATAACATTAAACAGAGTTACAATTTGGGATACAGCTTCCTTATTTCCTCTTCTAATAGCCTCTAGCAAAAAAACTTGCAAAATTATTTTTTCAACAGAATAAATAGAGTCAAAGTGCAAACTTTAAACCTCATAACTTCGAAATTTTTATGGATAAAATTTTTTTAACATTTTTTCCATGTTCCTGGTATCTTACTTTATATGGCATTTTTCTCTGGGGCGCGAGTTCTGGCGCAGCCTGTATGTGTTGATATAATATGTTACTCTTTACGACACCACAAAAAATTCAAACCCCAGAATCATGTTGACATGTGAAATTAGAGCAGAAAAAATACTCACTTTCCGTGCTTTGACGCTGTAAAAATCACTTCTTCCAAATTTGCGTTTTTAGTACACATTCTACAAATTGTATGTTTTGATCTAACCAAAGTGTCTCTTATAATTCGCGGCCATTGAGGGTCTGAAGGGTCTCTTTCACCTTTCTTTAAAACAACATAGGAATATTTTTCCGATTTTCTTAAACTAACAGCCCCTATTGGTAAGCTGAAATAGAAAGCTTCAAAATTGCAAGGAGTTCCATCGTTTAGGACAAATCTCGGACACACTTTGTCGTGTGGACACTACAATTTACAATTATAAAGAGAAAATCTAAAATTTTGAAAAACCTACTGGACTGTAAATATGTCCAACACCCGTATGGAGGATAAAATCTCTTACTTCGTTGACAACCTAAAAATGTAGTTTATTTTCGTGTTAAAAATTTGTGAAAATTTACTTGAAATCCGGAATTAGTGCCTTGTTCGACTATAACAAGATATTTTTGTGTTTTGTTCCATAAATTTAAAATGGTGTCAAATCGGGCCTGTCGAGATGGTAATTCCAGCAATGTGTAAGCACAAACAACCAAATCGTACGAAGTCTGAAAAAATTATCTCAAAATTGCTCGCTAATAAAAATTATTACACACATTAGTTGCTGGCAAAAACTGGCGATAAAAAACACCTCGCAGAGAGATTTTATTTGTGCCTTTTCCGTCTTGTAGCAGGATTTGGGCCAAATCATTCATGTCCCTGGATGAGTCCACGTTGAAGTATTCGAATATGTACTTTTTCCAATATAAATTTGCCGCCCTAAAAATATTTTTGATCAATTTTAAATATTAAATTAGATTACTAATTGGAAAAATACTTTTTACGTTTTTAGGACTCTAACTGTCTTTTTGCTTACCATGTGACTGTCCCAACGCCAGACCCGAAATCGAACAGACTCCTGGGCTGAAATCCTGGATCCCTTTCAGCTATTTCCAAAAATATTCTTGCCAAGACTGAAAACTCTGCAGCTGATCTAGACATTAAATAAACTAAAGCTTCATATGCGGTGTAATGAACAGGCTTCCAGTTGTAAACTCCAGACTTTAAAAGATTATGGACTTTAGTATCTACTACTTGTTGGAATTTTCTTCTGTCTTCTTCAGTTTCCATTTGAGGAATTTTCTGTTTCTCCATCACTTTCTGATACACAATGCGTTGTATTTTTCCCATTTCGTCTTTTTCAACGGGAGGTTTTTTGGCTCTTAAATGATTAATTAAAGTTTTGCCATCTTCTATTAACCCTTTCACTGGATAATCTGCTATAACATTAGTGACAGCTCTTATGAATGCTTCTGGAATAGGAATTTGGCGTGGTTTAAAAAGGCCGGGGTGTTTTTTGGGATTATAAACATTTTTTTCAATGTTATTTAGAACATTTTCGTCTAAAATAACCTGAGTTTTAACCTTTGTTGTGTACTAGAAAAAGAAAAAAATTGCACAATAATGTAACACAAATGATCACAAACCCTTCTAATAAAATAATTAATAATTCTCTTTCGAAAATAATCCATGCTTCCCTTTTTTTAAATTGACAGTTGATTTTTGGAGGTTATATTTAGGTCAGGACGTCGGTATAGTAGGAATCATTGCATCGTGGTTGAAAGCTTGGCATCCACTTGGATTCATAATGAAATCTTTCGGCTCATACAGGGTTATTCATAAATATGAAGCAATATTTGAACCTCAAAAATGACCTATAAAATGATGTTAATTTAAATAATAACTCGTGTCCTATCTCTACTGATAAGAATTTTACAGCCCTCGAAATGTGGGTATGGAAATTTGATTTTTTTGTAACAACTGTGGAACTATTTCACCAAATATTATAAAATTTGGAATGGTTACATGCGAGAACATACCCTTTAAACTGGTAATCACGAAAACCGGATACATCTACTCAATTTCCAGGTCCAGCAGTTGCAGGTCACATTTTCTGTGTTTTTTCATTTTTTTGGTGTCTTAACATTATTTTTTTATTCCTCAAAACAATAGAGTAATCAATTTTGAATACTCCTCAAATGGACTGTTTACGTGTGAATGAAATGAAATAAATTATAGAGACCTGAATATTTGGTTTGTTTTCTAAAGTTCTCTTTATACATACCTAGATAAAATAATAATAAATAATTCGTTTTCGATAATACATAATAATCCATGCCTCGCATTTTTAAACTTGAATGTTGATTTTTTAAATTATGTTTACATCAGGACGTCGGTATTGTAGGAATCATTGCATCGCGGTTGAAACCTTGGCTTGACAGACGTCATGCGTCGCGACGTCAATGTGATTTTTGACCAATTATCAAAAATGTCAGTTTCACAACAATAAACAAATAAATGGGTTAATCGAGTTATTATAATGAAATTTACGGAACATCTTTCAGCTCATATAACTCCAGAATGGAGGAAACAGTACATAAATTACGAAGTAAGTTTGATCAATTATAATTGTCTTTGTGGTCCTTTCCTAGATTATTAAACAAATTTCAATTTGTAGGAAATGAAAGCAATGTTGTATGCTGCTGTAGAACAAGCACCCTCAGCGGAATTGGTTGAACCGGAAATCTTGACGAGATATTTTGCAAAATTTGATGAGCAATTTTTCTCGTTTTGTGATAAGGAACTGACAAAGATCAATACATTTTATTCTGGTAAAATGCCCAAAAAAGTATTGTCATTTTATCAAAATACAGCAGCAACGCTTTTTGATTTTTTGTTATGCAAGCTAACGTAGTGTAGTTTTTTTTGTTTCAATTTCAATTTTTCTCCGAAATTTCTTCTTCAACACAATTTTAGAAAAATTGGCCGAAGCGACCCGCAAATATGCTGGTTTAAAAAGTGATCTCACTGAAGCTCAGGATGTCGAATATCCACGAAAGAAAAATACTATAAAAAACAATATTTTAAGAAAAAAAAACGTACCTGCAAGGAAAATACAAGAGTTGAAGTTAGCATTTAGTGAATTTTATTTAAGTTTAATACTGTTGCAAAATTATCAGAATTTAAATTTTACGGGGTTTAGGAAAATCCTGAAAAAACATGATAAAGTATGTAACGGGAGTTGGTTTATTTCCCACGATTAGGTAATAATTTTATATTGCAGCTGTTAAATGTTGATGTAGGGGCGAGATGGCGAGCCGAACACGTGGAAAACTCGCATTTTCATACAAATAAAGACATTGATCGATTAATTCGAGAAACTGAGTGCACTGTTACTCAGGAACTCGAAGGGGGCGATCGGCAAAGAGCTATGAAAAGGCTCAGAGTTCCGCCTTTGGGGGAACAGCAAATTCCGTGGACAACGTTCAAAGTGGGGCTGTTTTCTGGGTCTTTTGTGGTTCTCATGATTGCAGTGATTATATCGGGTATTTTGAATTTAAAACTAGGGGACTGTTTGAATTTCTTGCCAACAAAACGATACCAAAACAATTTAACACATTATTTTACGAATATAATGATTAATAAATTAAATATTTTTTTCACAAAACATATTTTTGATTTCTCAAGGTATGTTGTAGAACATAAAAATCTGTACAATTTTTATATTAAAAAGTTTTTTGTTAAGTTTAGTTTTTAATAAATTATTGTTTGTAGGTACACTTTCTTTGACTTTCCATGCTTCTTTTCAAACATTTTTTCTTGTTTTTTGTATTTGAAGATGTTTTTGTGTTATTTTCTTACTGATCTTGGCTAGGAGGATGCATCTACGTGAAAAACTGGTACGTGATGGAGTTTTTCACTACTTTTTCCGACTCAAAAACACATTGAAAGTTAGAAAAACGCAAACGTTGCAAGTTTGTGTATCACAATTGGCATCAAATTCAACGCAGTTCCTTTCTTACTTATTGTTTTAACAATCAATTTCCAGCCATATTCCATAAACGTCCAGACGACTGGCGCATCGTCTGTCGCCTTTACCGAGGCCCTTTTCTAATAATTGAATTTTTATTTCTCTGGGGTATTAACATTTACGGATGGCGGTCTTCTGGGGTTAATCATGTATTGATATTTGAAATGGACCCCAGAAATCATCTTTCCGAACAACATATTATAGAAATGGCTGCTATTTTTGGTGTTATATGGTGTGTTAGTGTCCTTTCCTTTTTGTACAGTACCGAATTAAGCATTCCAGCGTACATTAATCCATTTGTTCTTGTACTTTTAATGTCAGCATTTTTATTTAATCCGACGAAAACGCTCAGACATGAAGCACGGTTTTGGGCCCTTCGAGTTTTGGTAAGTAAAATAAAATGTGTTAACGTTCACACTTAGATGAGGGTATATTATAGCTTATTAAACGAATGGTTAAACTATTTTATTCTTATGCATAGTCTCATATAACGTTAATACAATTTTTGGAATCCTTCTAAAAATCCTTAAAAAAATATTTTACCAACTAACCACTTCTTACTAATATGTAGGGTCAAGTGGGGTAAATGCGAGGACCATAACTAAATTTGTGAATTCAATGTCATACGGCTCATTTACTACACTGACCGGCAAAATTATCGCATCACAGAAAAGTGAGTTTTTATTGAAATAATGCTTGAAAAAATAATAAATGAATCAAAAATTAATGAATTAACTAATTAACGTTGAATTAAACTAAAATTAGGACCTAAACTTCAACAATTAAACTACAAAAAAAGAAACAAAAAGTAAATTTCGTATGAATCAGTTCTTTAGCTTACTCGTAGATAAGTTTTTTTTTGCATTTGGAGGCAACCATTAATACCTAGAATCGAGCGATCAAGATAATTTGTAATCGAGTCTTCTATGCATCTGAGAACGTATGTCTGTTTTTGAACTAACTTCACGGGAAACGTCAAATAAAATCGTAAGGTAAAGCGGCAAAATGAGCTGGAATTAGTCGTAATAATACGAGTAGGAGCACCGTGCTTTATTGAAGGTAAATTATAAATTTAGTTTTTATAATCATCACCTTTTTGATCATGCCATTCTTTCATTTTACTTAACATTTTACAGACATACGTTTTCGGATCCAAGGATGACTCGATTACAAATTATCTTGATCGCTCGATATTACCTAGTCAAGCCTGGAAAAAAGCTCAGTTTTTTATTGTTGTCTCTCGGTTACCGGTGATTTTGTTAATTTGACATTTAATCAGTAAACAATGATTCTATACCAATTGTTTTTGAAAAATCTAGGTATAGTTACTTGATAATGCTACTATCCTATATCATCAATTTTAGTACTATTTTCAGAACCCTTTATTATTAAATCATAAAATTTAAGTGATGCGATGATTATGCCGGTCAGTGTATTTAATTATAAAGAATTTACATTTATATAGCTTATTTCCAATATATTAGGCTTTTATTTTAAGTATTTAGTAATAGGAAAAAATATTTTTTCAAAGAAATATGGGTCTAAATGAAGTACCATGTCTCATTATTAGATTTACTCCTTGTAAAGGGGTAAAGGTAATATTCATATCACATTTAGTAACAGTGTTTTTAGATTGGACTCTGAGGTAATACAAATTAAAGTGGGGAAAAAAAGAAATAAAGTTGTTTTTATTTCATATACAGGCTGTTCGGTCCAAGTCGCCCCAGCCGATAACACCTAAACTTACTTTTTTTTTTCAAAAACTAAATTTTCAAATAATACTATTCATTCCTGGCTTTCTTAGTAAATGCATCAAATTTTTTTGACACATCCGATGTAGACGGAAATGCTACCAAATTTAGTTTTTCAAATGGAACACCTATGTTTTTTTGCTCAAAACAATGATAATTGGCATGAAAAATACGGTAAACCACTATTTATTACATTTTACTTTACATAATGTACTCAGAAAACAATTTAAATTTTAGAATTTTATTAGCAAATTTTGCAACGTAGGCGGATTTTACCTGTCAAGGTATTCATGCAAAAAGCAATATGTTTGGATACCGTTTAATTGTTATTTTGACAAAGCCTAATTTGTCAATAAATCTTATTGAGATCTTTAATAATGGATGATATTAATTACGACGAATTGGTACATCAGTTTGAAGTGTTTTTTAAGTGCAATAAAAATAGAACGGAAGCTGAAAGACAGTTTAGAGAAAAATACTCAAATAGAGTTCACCCAAATCGTTGGAAATTTAGTCGAATTCAAAAACAACTGAGACCAACAGGTTCGCTTTTTAAAACTAAAAAACCTGTGGTTCTTGGTGAAGAACAAGAAAATGGAAATCTGAATGTTCAGTTATCATTCGAAGAAAATCCAAGAGTTTCCATAAGAAAACTCGCTCATCAACTGACAAATTAGATTTATCAAACCAACAATTAAACTGTATCCAAGCAATAATTGTTGAACTTTGTATTATTAAAAAAATCTCATGTTAATTATAAAATAAATTTAAAATGTAGGTAATAGTTTATTTTAGAAATGTTATTTTAAATTTTAACTTTATTAAACTAAGTAATCATAAATTTATACTTATCTAAAAAGTATTCAGAATTTTTTTTAAACATAAATAAACAATCATTATTTTTTTACAAGTACCTATCTAAAATACAGTTTTTGCAAACGAATCGTTGCTGTTGCTTCTGAAATAGCAGATGAGTTCGCAAAAACGTTTTAGAAAACAACATTTTTTTTGTAAATGCTCCCAAAAACACGTTCACCACTTCTTATTATTTATGATTAATGTCATCAGAGCAAAAATTTCTTGAAAATAGTGAGCTTCGAATTTTAATCAGTATGCCACCAATTGTAACCAGATTGACTTTTTTGTCTTCAAAAACTGTATTTTGGGTACTATTTTAATAAGTCCGAAAAAGACTCATTTTGGGACTCAAATGAGTCTGTAAAATAGCAATTTTTGGGAGCGTACTCGTATACAAAATTCAACTTTTTTATTAAAAAGTGTCAGAATAACATTCTAGATGCATAGTCATAATTGTTACATATCTATACTAGGGCAATTCAGAAATAAGTCTATTTTTCAGATAATATTCATTGATCCTAATTTATTTTTTCAAATTTTTAACACGAAACGTTCTTGCTAAACTCACAAATGTTCCAGTTATTTAATAATAAAAAATTGTTAAAATTTGTCTTTTTAAAAGAACTTGTAGATTTCTCTATAAATTGCCCTCGTAGATACTTGCATATAGATAAAAATTATTTTCAAAAATTACCATTTAGGTATTTTAAAACTTACATGTTCAGTAATTGGAAATTTTTGAATTGATGAATTTTGGCAAAAAATGGGTATAAACTTTTGGACCATATAATTCACATAGAAGAATTAGAATAATAATTAGGCTAAGCACTAACACTGACTAAATACGTTTCTAATTTTATTGTTCCCTTGTGGTCTTTGACTAAATATAATCTATAATGCAGTTATAAGGTAGGTAGACAATTTACCTACGAGAGTACTAGAGCATTATTTATTTATAACGCTGTGCTCAGGGGTTTGTAATTCTGTGAATAGATTTTTTAATTAAGGTATTTGTTCTCTTATTTAATGCATTTTTACCTGTGTGTGACCATAAGTTTACTTTGATTATTGAGCATCTACATAATTATGTTTATTATTAGGATGTTGTTAAACTAAATAATAAATATCCACATTTACACTCTTTTTGATAGTACATTATCTAAAGCATGTATAAAATTTATTAAATATTTATCGCACTGTCATGAAAATCTAATAACTAAGGAATAAAATTATTCAAAGTTTAAATCCACTAATTTATTGATGTTAATTTCGTAAAGCGCTTTACGAACTCAAGTCATTCAAATCTTGATTTAATTACGAGTATAAAAAATTTTTAGGCTAAATTTATAACGAACGAATTTATTTTATAATATGAAATAGTTTTTGTAAATGCAGTAAAATACAACTTTTAAAAACCGCGTACACAACATTGTTAAAGTAAATAACAATCCCTATTAAAATATAACAAAGTCAAACTTCATTTTACCAACATGTTCTGCAAACTTTCCGGAATATCTGATTTAAACTAGTCGTATTTACTCTACATAAAACGTTGAAACTCTTTAGCAAACAAACAGAAAATAAAAATACCCAACTCGGTGTGTTATTCCAAAGCAGAGAATGAATTTCTAATAAATAATAACAGACGTTTTTTGTGGTTTTTAGGTTAAAGTCGTAACGGCTCCATTTTTCTACGTAACATTTGCCGATTTTTGGATAGCGGATCAATTAAACAGTATTGTAAATCTTTTCACTGACATTCATTACTTTTTTTGTTTCTATTTAACTAACCCCAGTTGGTCAGTCGGACAAGGTACATGGTAATAAAATGTGACAATTTACATCTACATTCACTCGTTTCAGATACGAATTACTGTGTTGAAAAGCATTTGATAATAAGACCTTTTATGGCTTGTTTGCCGGCTTGGTTCAGATTTGCACAGTGTTTGAGAAGATATAGAGATACTAAAGAAGCGTTTCCTCATTTGGCTAATGCAGCGAAATATGCAACATCATTCTTTGTCGTAATCTTTACAGCCCTAAATACGGCTTATTCAGGTGAGGCAAACTGGGAAGTTATTAGCTAAATTGATTTTGTATTTCACACCACCTACAATGCGGGTTGTTGGTCATGACCGTGAACTTAAGCGCGTTCAAACGCTCATTAAATGCATTGAATTAGAAAATTTGCTGCAAACAATGGCAAATTTGTATACCTACAGGTGCGCCAGAACTCGCGACCTAGAGAAAAATTTTAAGCAAGATAGGATACCAGAAACATGAAGAAAATGTTCAAAAAATTCTATCTGTCAAAAAATTTTGACATTTTTTTTTGACATTTGACATTTTTTATGTTTATTTAATGATACTGATGATCTTGTATATGTTTTTTTATAATTATTTAGTAAAAGTACAAAAATTTTGGCAATAAAAGCCACAAATAACATTAAACAGAGTTACAATTTAGGATACAGCTTCCTTGTATCCTCTTCTAATAGCCTGTAGCAAAAAAACTTGGAAAATTATTTTTCCAGCAGAAATAAATAGTCAAAGTGCAAAATTTAAACTCTCATAACTTCGAAATTTTTATTTTATTTTTTTAACATTTTTTCCATGTTCCTGGTATTTTACCTTACATGACATTTTTCTCTGGGGCGCGAGTTCTGGCGCACCATGTATTTCAATTTACTTTCCTCAGAAAAAAGTACTTTTTTAAAATTGATTTATTTCTTCTTCTTTCCATGTTTTTTCTTCTTATGTTTTCTATTCTCTTTGGAATATACTTAGTATTTTCATTACTAATTTATTAACAAATTTATAACAAATTAAAGAATACATTTAAGTCCAAATTTTTCTTTATTTATCTATTGCAACCAGGGCCGGACTGAGGTAACTTGTTTCCGAGGTAATCAGAATCAGTTGTGATAAGCCAACATTTCTAAACACTTAACTTTTAATATTTCGCTTCATTTATTTTTTTGTCTTAAAGTCGCAACAGTGTGATCAAATTTCTACCAGAAAATAAAACAACTTTCAGTTGAATTCTAATTTTAAATAAATTGGATCTACAAAGTATGAAATTTGCCACATATTTAATTGAACATATGGTATTTATCTAGGTATTTAATGATGATAACCACTCTAAAACTTTTTCCTAATAGAGGAAAATAGTTGTTTCTGAAAAATTTAACACTGATAGGTGATGGCAAATGCATTTTTTTTTATTTTACTTTTTCAAGATAATTGAAAATGGGCATGTTTTAACTTTTTTTTTGGTTATCTACTTATTTTTATACTACAACCTTGTATCTTTTATAATTATTACTTAATTATTACCTTGAACATCAGGAATACGAGTAGAAAACTCTTTTCATAATTAGTGACTCACCATTTAAAATAGTTATTTACCTAACCAGTTCGGAAAGATAATTTTCCCGCATGAGCACTTTGTTTGCAGCACGACCGCAGTGCGAATGCGGGAAAATTCTTTCCGAAAGAGTTTGGTACAAGTTTTTTTGTAGCGAATAATTCAAAATAATGTTGAAAAAAAGAAAAGAAAAAGAAAAAAAAATTTAAATTATTTAGTCATATACTATTTGGTGAGTTGGTAGCCTTGCCGTTGCTATGGTTTTATGCAAACAAAATTTGAAACACTAGCGTCATTTTCTTTTGTAATTTTTCAAGTATATTTCTGTGAAAATGAGTTCTGACGAAATTTTGACGCCGCCAGAAAAAACTTGGCTTGGTGCCTCAAAAAAGCCGATCAAGGTATGAAATAACGTACCAAAATACCAACCGTACAACGCGATTTCCCCTAGTTCTTGTTGCAAAGTAAAAAACACCTCGGTGCGGGAAAAACATTCTTCATGCATCGAGAATAAATGGAAAAATTTTGTTTCCAAGCAATGAGTACAAAAAAATAAAAGATAGCTCAGTTTTTTTTAATTCTACAAAATGTTTTAAGTAAAAAATAACATTATTTTATTGATTTCATTTCACTACTCAAAAAATTAAAGAGAAAATTTTTTTTAGCGATTTTTGAGAGGCTGTAATTCATCGAAAAATGGTCGTAAAAAAACTATTTTGAAGCTTCAAGTTTTTAGTTTTAAGATCTTTTGGTAAAAAAATTTTTTTGTTCTACGGTTATCATGTAATTTTAAGTAATAGCGCGAGAAACAATATGTGCAATTGTTCTTTGAATTCTTTTGCAAAACTTTGATCACACGTTCCGAGAAAACGGTGTGATGGATCGATTTAAAAATTAACAGGGGATACATTAAGCTGTAAAAACATCTAAAAACATTAGTCTTCCTATCAATATTAGTGATTACGCGGTAGATTTAATAAAACAATGCAAAAAGTTGCTTTTTTCTCTTTTAAATCATAAAAAGATTTTGTAAGACATTTATTCCGGTTTTTGACACTACCTTTATATTCTCTGTGTGGTCATTGGTTGCTGAGATATCGATGATCAAAGACAAAAGGATCCATTTTCATTGAAAGTCATATCTCGCTGAGATAAATGACGTAAAGAAAATATTAAAAAGGTGAACGAACATGCTATCTGGCCTATGCGTTAACTAAACTAAAAAAAAAAATCCCACGTCCGTGGACCAAAAACAAAAACAAAAAAATTAGATTTTTTTCTCGTGCTATTACTTAGAATAACGTGATAACCGTATTACAGAAAATTTTTTGTCAAAAGATCTCAAAACTAGAATCTTAAAGCTTCAAAATGTTTTTTTTTAATTTAAATACGACCATTTTTCGATGAGCCTTTCAAAAATTACTAAAAAAATTGTGAAAATATAAAAATTAAAAAAAAAATCTGTTCCTTTAATTTTTTGGAATAGTGTACTTTGTAGTAATAATTAGGTAAAAAAATAGTTAATTTTTATTCGATATTTATTTTGTCTTTTATGTTTCGTTAATGTCGACTTTAAAAAAGATAAAATGATACAAAACTCAATTATGGTTAAATTTTTTTGATCCAAAGACACTTTATTTGAATGTAATTTTCCGGCGAATAATTTAATTTTGTCATCTTTAATTTGAAATTTTTCGAGTATAGAAGGCGAGGCCGGAATGATGGAGAGCCCTTTTTTCTATCTTTGGATAACGGCGTCGCTGATAAGTTCTTGCTACGCATACACTTGGGATATAAAATTGGACTGGGGCCTCTTCGACTCGAAAGCCGGCGATAACAAGTTCCTTAGGGAGGAAATTGTTTATTCTTCCACGGTAACTTTTCCACATTTGTGGCTTTTTCTCACCTTTACAGTCCGTTTCAGTGGTTCTATTATTTCGCAATAGTCGAGGATTTCATTTTACGATTCGGATGGGCATTTTCGATGTCTTTAACCGAAATGGGTTATGTTCACGCCGACTTGATGGTAACGATTTTAGCGCCCTTGGAAGTTTTTAGGTGAGGGTGACACGTGTCATTAGAATAAATCGCTTCTCCTTCAAGGGACAATTTAACGAAATTTATTTGCTCAGGAGATTCGTCTGGAACTTCTTTCGCCTGGAAAATGAGCATCTCAATAACTGCGGAAAATTTAGGGCTGTCAGAGATATCTCAGTTGCTCCCTTGGATACTTCTGACCAGATGTTGATCGTGAGGATGATGGACGAGGAGGATGGGGTTGTCCACAGGAGAAAGAAAAAGTCAACAGGGAAGAAGAGGGATGAAGCGCGATCGGCCGAAGGAGAATCAACAGATGACATGGACATCTAATTGCATTTAAATCAAAATCTTTATTTTTTAAATAGAAATGTATAAGAATGTTTTAGAAAATAATAAAAAATCTGGTTGTAATTTCTGTTTTGTTCTCTCCCTCCAGGCGTGCGGAGGCGTCGCGACAACCCCTGAATAAAAAATTTCAGATTTCAGCAATGTTGTTTATGTTGGGATATTATCAGCAATTCTGCGTGTTATTATCAAAATAAGGGCGCATGTGCGTCGATGGTTGTATTGGTAGTGCTGTGGCAGTTCGCTTCAGTCAATGAAAATATCCAGTTCACTAGCTGGGAATTTTAACACCTCCTGTGACGTCGGCAGCGTCGCCCAATGGCATGTTGGGTATCTTATTGATTACTTGGAAAAATGGCAGGACTGTGAAAACATATGGACTGAACCGTCTGGAAAACTACAATATGAAATTCACCTTCATATGTATTGTCATCGTTTTATCATGTAGTGTTTGTGCTTCCGGCGATCTGGAAATTTATCCGGGTGAGTAAAATTCGCTTTAAATGCCGCTCTTGGATTATAAATACTAAACAAAATAAAGCTCAAAAAACCGCCAAAATATTGGTGATTCAATTCTTGCTGAAATATAAAAAACACATATTTTTTATTTAATTATGGAAGGCGCTCCCGATTTTTGGCTTATTTTAATTCCAAATTGGATTTTTTAATTTTCAAATTGCCTTCAAGTAATCAACCGTGATTTTGTATCATTAAACATCATTTACGCCTTACATTTTCAATCGAAAATCTTATTTACGTGCTGCCAATAAAACGTTATTTCGAGTGTTTACACGGAGGTGCTTAGAGAGATATTCGAAGTCGACTCTCTGAAGATATTTACGTTTCATTTTATTTTATTTCGTTTTTATTTCCCAGGTACGTTTATTTGCTCGAATATATTCGTTTCAATATATAGAGAAAACGCGTTTTACATAAATTTTCATTATTTTGAGTGGTTTCTTCTTTTTATGAGATCGGCTTCCTAAAATCTAAATACATTGTGCGAGTTTAATGCCTAGTCTTTGAAGTTAAAAATGTTTCCGTTTTTACTTTTATAGTTCTAGGTTAATGTACGGTAAATAAATTTGAAGCTACTGTTAAAAATTGACCTTAATTACTACGAGGTTGGTGAAACATTTGTCTTTGCTTTAGCTTCTTTAAAAAGTTTTAAATGTCCACTTTAATGCAAATGTTTATTGCTCTGAATAAAGAGATGCTTTTAGCGAATAAATTTTTAAAACTTTGTTTCCTGTTAGGTAATTAATAAAACAGTTTTTATAAAAAATAATGTAAAAGTCGCTTTGTTTTTGGAATAAGTGCTAATTCTTTCAAAATAAATTATTATTATGCATTTTACTAAAAATTAATATGAATAAAAGTATATTTTTCTGTGTATGTATTTAATCATTCACCAATAATACAGTTTTAGATGAAAAAAAGCTTTTTACTTTTTCAAATTTTGCTACTTTGTATTTTCACAATTATTCATTTAGAATTTTAAGTATGATGTTGGACTATATTTGGCTGTCGTAAAACTTTAAAATTAGCAAAAATATAATAATTATGTTTTTGTGTACCTACTTTTATAAATGATTCCAACATCTAACCAGGCTGTTATTGCTATAGAACTACAAACTGATTTAAGAATTACATCTATTAAAAAATATATTGCAAGTTGCCATTAAATTGAAAAACTAATTTTCTATAATTTCTTCCAATTATATTTTTAAAGACTTAGGCCCTTGGTGTGAGGAAGCTTCTGATTTCATCAATATAATTGGGAATTGCCCATTGTGGTCCTCATTTGAATACTTCAATATCAGATCCAAATAACTTGGTGATTATAAGTTGTCCTTCACAATCTTTTTTATTGAAAGTTTTAAGTTGTCTTAAAGTTTTTTAATTTCGAACGTCCATAATTGAATATTAAAATTCTGAGTAAAATTTAAAGCACCCGACTTTTATGGAAAGTTTAATTAATAGCTTAAAAAATTATAAGAAATCATACCATCTTAAACTTGGCTTCGAATTAAATTTGATGCACATAAAAGTAAAATTAATTTATGAGTTTTTGTATTTTTAAATAAAGCGAATATTTTAAACGAAGGTGTTTCTATTTGTGCAGTTATATTGATTTTAATCATTTATTTTAATTAATATTTATGTAAACTGGTAGTTTTGTATCATTTTCATTTATTCTACATGAAAATCATATATGATAAATATTTTGATATCTTCAAAAAGAAGTATTAGTTAATAAAAATTACAAAAATTTAAATCGTGATAGAATATGTTGGTATTTGTTAAAATCGCACTTTGGGGAAAGAACAAATATGTAAATTAGTAGTTTGCTCTTTTCATTGCGTGCTGCGTGCTTGTTTAATAACCACAAATGAAAAATCAGAACACTGAAACAGAAGAGGTTTTAGTAATTATGGAATTTAATAACACAGTGTTACTTGGAAATACAAAATTTTGTTATTTCACAAAACTAAATAACCATATTTCGTGTTACACTTCTTGTAACAAATAGATGAAAAATAATTATACATTTTGTTTAAAAACACAAGACGCGGTTATTACATGTTTTTTTTTATATTAGATATCTGTTTATTTTTTCCTGTTCCTTCGGCACAAATTGATTTGACATTTTTATTTATAAATTTTTTAAAAAATATTTTTTTAATTCATCAATTTATCGTAGAACGTTTTAACGAGATTGAACATTTTAATTTTGTATGACTTTTTTTCATAAATTGGTAAAGCAGACTTTTTAATTTAAGTATACAAATTGACTTTTTTGCTCGTTAGAGAAACGTATGTGGGTGTATGTGGGCATGAAAATAAACATCAGTGACATGAAAATTAATTTAGATTAAATGACTACGGTTGAAAATATTAAACTTGAATAAAATTTAGATCCAATTTATGCATTTTGTGAATGAAATCATTGAAGATCAAAGAGTTAATTAAGAGCGTAGTTCCAGTAATAATAATTGAAAACTAGTAAACAGAATTTGCATTGGCAGATAAGTTAATTAATTCACTTGATGAAATTTAAAATTTTAATTGTTTAATAAACAATCTGAAAAGCAAGTGTACGATTGTATATTTACACAAAGCAAATTAATGAAACAGCATGGAACAGAAGAGCAATTCCACGTGATATTTTATCAGATAACCAAATTAGAAATTAGTATTCTAGAGCTGTGCATTTACACTGACGTAACAAATTTCCGTCGTAATAAAATTACACACGTCTTAATTCTTGATATCTTGGAAATAAACTGTCACCTTCCATTTATTCCACACAGATGCGCTGAATGTGTTGAGGGCGTTATAATAAGCATTTTCCTTACTTATATAAAAGCTCTCGATTTTTTGAAAGCTTCTATAAAAGTTTTTTCTACTTTTGTACGAGTTTCGACAGAAAGCTGTTTTTCACTTCAGAGCTTTTAACTTATTCTTAAATTAGGTAGATGCCTTATTAAAATTACCAAGTTGTAGGAATTACCATACACTTTAAGGAGCTTATTCCTGTTATTCGTCAAAAGAAGCGTAATATTCAAATACCACTTTTACCATTATCAAAGTTTGTTTCAACCGGATGTATTTTGTGATAGTCGTTCAAGTAGAACGTTAACGAATTACTTAAATAGATACACTTGAATTTTTATTAAGCTGCTATCTATAAGCTCTCAAAAATTAGGCAACGTGAATATAAATCACGCGGTCATTTTTTGTGTTTAAAATGCAACTATTATCCGATAATTCTGTTGTTTACGTGAAACTAGATACCTTTATAGTAAATTGTAACCGTTCATAAACACAGATTAAGCAGCAATATACAACGAAGAATCCTTTTATTCGTAATAAAATCCTCAATAAGGAGCTTAATTGCCTCTCACTTGTGAAATGTCAAATGTGAAATCTTGAATGAAACATTGTACGAATAAAATCGCTACCTACATTTAAGTGGACAGAAGAAAATGAACAAGCTTGATACTGGCTTTATTTTTATAGTTAAATAGAGTTTTTTTTAGAAGTGTAACAGTTCATTATTTCTTATTCTGGTGTTTAAAATTGTGTCCTGAAATCCTGAAATTATGAAATATTGAATATACGAGTATGTATTGGTACATTACAGAGGCGGACTGAATGCAAAATGCAAATGCAAATTGAGTGTCTTGACGAAAATTCAATATTTGGATAAAACGGGTCGTTTAGAGAATTGTAATAGAAAAATTGTTGTATAATAAAAAAGATGCAATATTAAAAATCATATTCCGAATTGCAAATTGTCTTAAATAACATTATTTTGGTAAAATTGACAACGTTCTAAACATTTTTTCAAAAACACCACAATTAGAAAAAATATTTTAAATTGAA